CCCCCAAACAGTCAGCTTCCCTCCCCCTGAGCCCACCAAACCCATCCCCCCCATCCCATATGCTGCTCCAGGTGCTGGTTTTACATGCATTTGCTAGGGCCAGGAGCTGAGCAAGTAAGTCAGGGTGAGGGAAAGGGCAGGCAGGATGTGGGAATTATTCATCTAGGGATGGGGGGGGTTGAGGAGCTAAAAATAGCCCCTGGTCCAAGGGTGTTGTGGGGAGAGCACCCCTCCCATGGACCTTATGAGTCCCCCTGATTTTGACAAACCCTCCTGGACCCTAGCAACTCCTCCACAGACCCCACTTGCCCTGCAGCCCCTGCCTGACCCCCGCAAGCTCCCTACCTGCTAACCCCACTATTCCGGCTTGCCTTAGATAGGGTGGCCATTTTTAACTCAGTCCTGAATACTTGTAAGCAGCCTTAGATGGGCTACCCTACACTTCCATCATTGTGTGGGACTGTGTCTGCATCACTACCTAGTGCTGCTTCGAGCCCAAACCTGATGACCATTCACTTAAAACAATCTTTGGCCTGCCTCCCCCACCGTGCGTCTCCCATTCAGTGTGTTTAGGACTCCCCTAGCTAAAGACTGAAAGCATAGGCAGGTTGTCATCATCCAACGTACAACCTTTCTGTATTCTACTTTTGTCTCAACTACCCATAACTGGAGGGCAAGCACAGATGCTCGAGTGGAGTCCTGCTAGGTATCAGTCTGCCCACAACTTGTCTTTTCTGTGTTTGGTCTGTAGTTGGAACAAGGTAATATAGACAGGAAGGTGCTGCTCATGTGCCTTGGGCTAGTTAGGGGTAACCTTAGTGTCAACCCTAAATAACAAGGTAGACATACCCTGGATTCAAATAGAGCTACCTCCATGCTTGCTTCATTCCCAGCGCAAGTGGGCAAGAAATGAGCATATAAACTGATACAAAAATTCAGGCTCTGTAGCAAAGCTACCCTAATGGGTCAGGCACTCCTCAAAATTATCTTAATGGCGTGAACTGTATGAAAGCAGATGAGTAAAATGGATATGTTACCCAAGGGAGTAAATTTCTTACTGAATATTGGGACTCGGAACACAGGAGGGAAGGCGTACCAGAGGACTTGTCTACCTGGGTCTTCCCATGCCCAGCCCCATACAGAAAAAATCACCAGAAAACGATACTGAATACAGAAAACTATACTGGGCACAGTTGAAGCAAAGGACAGGGAAGGGATGCTCTCAGTACTAATTCCAGTGAATACTCAAAACAGCAGTGGTACCTGAAGCAAGTGGATCAGAGCTGACCCCCGCAAGTAGTTTCATAGTAACTAGGGTCAGGAGGGACCTGAACAGATCATCTAGCCT